TCGGAGCGGGGGGACCGTGATGTCTCGTCCACAAACAAGATGGCTGCGCCGACAGAAATGTTCTCGAGACGAACGGTAAAGTCGGACACCTGCCCCTTTTTAGATGAATAGTGCTAATTTCAACAGATAAGACCATTTGGTTTGAAAACCAAGACAGCACTTATATCGTTCCGGAAAATGCTTGTTGGTGCATCTTGCCTGAAAACTAATTAACGCGCTATCGATCGAGCGGTAGCGTGCGTCGGCGGAAAAGCTGTTGTCATGAGAAGACAGCCGGACCGCTGTCTTCTTTAGAATGCTAAGCCTCGCGAATAAAGATGCTTTGTTCGGAAAGCCGCAATACCCTCAAGCCTTCCGGGAAAAGTTTATCTGTGCATCTCTTCAGGAAAAAAAAAAAATATTGACGCGCTATTCATTGAACGGCGACGTGCCGATAGCACATCCACGGGTTCCGTCTCGCAGTGCGAGACGGAAGCACAAAATACATATGACGAGTTTACCAGCTCCCTGCATCGACAAGCGAGTTCAATAATGTTTTCATTCTTTTAAATCTCGGTAAAGCGATTCAGCAGGTAAAGCAGAACGGTCGAGAAAACTTTCATGCATACGTTATCGAGGCGAGTCTCTAAAGCTCTCAAGAGTATTGAAACATTTGTATAAACTTCATAACGTCGTCGCCTTTTTTTACTTTCCACGCTGCCGATACACCAAGGCCTTAATTAATTAATCTCCAAAATCATTACGGCTTCTGCTATCCGTATCCACGAGACGTAGTTGCGAGTGGCACATATGGCTCGTCGACAGTTTCGGTTTATCGCGCTCCTGTATACGCTATGATTCGTTTAGTTGCTTTGCTCGGCGTATGAAACTCGGAGCGTCGGAGTAGGAGTAAAATAGAGCAGACTCAAGCGCCCACTGACATCCTAAGAAGAGCTGGATGGTGCGCGTTTCAAGCAACTTATTATAGCTCCTTAACTGATCATTAGTCGTCAAGAACGTCGAAGAATTATCCCCGAAACAAGAGGTGTGAACATGGGTGACACGTGAACACAATTTGTTAGGCCATAAGGTTTTTCAAGCTCCCAGTGACCAATGTGAGGAAATCACGTGCCAAAAAGACCCCCATGAATGTCTGCTACCAAATGACCTTTTTTAAAACGGTGCAAGTAGTCAACGCCCAGTCAGGAAATAATCGTGCGAAACGCAAAAACGGAGCAATGAACGCGTCCATAGATGTTTTTATGGAATGAAATATAACAAATTCCTAGCTGTGCGAACGTAATCTAAGCTGGTACTTGCACCGTCTACTCTAAAAAAATTCCTTGAAAAGCAAAACTATCCTATGGGTTTACTTATTATGCTCCGTTTCACCACGGACAGACAAGCCGGACTATGTCAGTGATAGCTCTAGGCTCGCTTCAAACGGGGCGATTTCTCCCAGTGACTTGACGTCGCAACACCGGGAACACGGGCCGCACGCATTTACACGCAGCTACGATTTTCCATCAACATAATTTTATTTTAATTTTCTCGCACTATCAGCTGTCAGACACACAGTTACGCGCTATTCACATGGTTTATGTCTTTAAATGGCGTTGTGGACACTTTCTAATCTCTCTTAGATAGTTTATTTTTTAAAAAAAACTATCTATTTCAAACCAGAACCAAGTTTCTAGTTGTCATCACCACCGCCGTAGGGATGTCTCGTGAAAGTATCACGTCCCTGATTGGTTACTGCCACTTCAAACGTCTCCAAGTTGTCCGAGTTGCTCGTCTGTTTTGAGCCCGACGCGATCCGAGCAATTCGTGTCGCAACGCCAGGATCTAAGGAAAGCTAAGGAACAACTCGCCAGGAACGCCGAAATTGCTGGGAAAATTTCCCCGTCTAAAGCGGGTTTAAGAAGCGCGGGGCGGAGCTCATTATAATATCAGTTCTAGCTTCCTCATTCCCCCGTGGGCGTTCTTTTCGGCTAAGGCCACAATCTCATTGCTATTGCGATAATGAGTAGCTTAGGACTCACTACACCCCGCGTCCCATAATCCGCCCTTACTCCGTTAATACATCACAAAACACAGTCTGCTTATACTAGGGTGTTTTAGGGAACTGTTTCTGCGCATCCGACGCGGTACAATAGGCCCTTCAGTACTAACTGCGCACGCGCTACCACAGAATACTCGCACATGCGCAGTTCCTACCGGAGGGCCCAAGGTACCCTATCGGGTGTGCACAAACGGTTCCCTAAATCCCCCTTCTGTCTCGGCAGTATTTATTCCTCGCTGGACGGTCTTGTCACAGTGGTCATATAAACTGTTTTTAGACATGTTCGAAGTATAAGTTTGTGTGAAACAGACATGATTGGAAGATGTTTGAGCGTTCCCGCATGTTTGTAGCTATGTATGCTGTGAACACTGAGTCTATCGCATAGCCGGGGATACATGGACGCCATCATACCGCGTCGAATAGAGAGATGACGATTTGGATAAGGTCGAAGTAGGTGAAGCACAGGGACTGGGCGCATGGGATTGGTTCCCTCTCATATACGACTTGTAAAAGCGAAGCGATCCTAGCGGAGTGGGGTCGCGCAAAGCATCAATTTGGTACATTGTGGCCTCCTTTTCGGTTTCCGTTTGCCAGCCTCCATCCAGGACATCACGTCACGACCAAATAGATTGCAAGCTTTTTTGAATATATGGGTTTTCTTAAATCTACGATGTTGCCCACCAATACGAGTAGAATGCTTGAGCGGGTTTGGGGACTCTCGACGTGCCATAGTTTGCGCGGAGGTAAGGGAGGTGATGTGTATTCGCCGATCATCAAGTCCCTGCATCTCAATGTCCTAGCTTTTTACTACAATCCCCAACCCTGCCCATTCCAATCTGTATGAGCATCGTACCGGCGTGCGGTCGTGTATCACTACTGCGTGCTGCACGTTAAAGACCCCAGGTTAACGGTTGTACCGCACTGGCTAAATTGTTCATCCAGAAGTGACACACCAGACGCCCAATAAGGCAGACCAGCTTCCGGCTGCACAAACATACACACACCATGTCCTAAGCTTTCTAAATGATCCGTGCCTGGAGAGGGTAATGCTGGATTCTTGAGTGGTAGCCCGGCCTCCAGAATGGTAGGGGACGTGACAAGTCTTACTCTTACTCTTCACTATGCCCAGGCCGGTCCTTCCGGCCGCTGGGGGTCCGTGTTTTGACGGAGGCCCTCACGAAGATCAATGGGTGCCATGCAAGCGACCGCTGCCTTCATTTTCATGCAGTGCCGAGATGCAGTACTTCGTCGATGGGGCAATCGAAACCGGAACCGTGCCACTCCTGTTCGCGGCCAAAGAGGTTCTATAACGCACCTCACGCAGTGTTGCATGCAGGGACTTTTCGCAAGTATTCTGTTCTATGTGCTACTCTCCCATCCATGCAAACGCCGCCTATGACGCACGAGTAGTGGGGCTGCGGCTTTCGTAATCTGTCCCTGACTACAGGCACGAACGTTCGTCACTTCTCTTGAAACCTCTTTTAAAGTATGATCCCGCCTACGATCTAGATGGGACACAGGAATCCTAGTGCCGGTGAACTATCGGGGCGCCTCCGCTGTCCCAAATTGGGCGTCGGGATAGAAAAACAACAACTGCTTATCATGCCATTATTTTGGAGCGACTACTTGAAAACGCGAGTTTCAAACATGCAGTTTTAGAGTCGTAAACGGTCGCATAAATTCAACACTTGTATCTTGAGCTGCGGTACACGTTAAGGGGAGAGTAATCTGTAGTTGCTTTCAAAATCAAACGCCTTTTCTAATTTACATTGTTTAGTCAAGCACTGAACGAACGGAATGTTGCCGAGCTGTAATTTCCGAAATGACGATAGAAGTTCTAAGTTGTTTTACTTAGCGTTTTGCCTCGCTACTTCATAATTGGCGTTTTAAGATTGCTTAAACTTTAGTTGCACTTGCAAGTAAAACATTACTCTTTGAGCATAAAACTATCGACTATCACAGGCATAACGCACGTGACTAGATAATAAACGAACCAATTGCCTAAAATTCCCACTTCTAATGTATAAACAAAAGGTAATTCTAAAAACAACTGTAATAAATATTCTAAGTAATAACTTCTCTAATAACTACTTGGCGCTCGTAGTTTGATCTCAACAGGAGACGATAGCGTTATCTAAACCAAACTGCTCTTTTGCTTGAGGTGTCTTTCTAGAAGGCATAATTTTTGGTGTCAAAACAGGTTTTCTTTCAAGAGCCTATCCTACTAATCGTAAAAAAGTAATCATTTTATAGACGATAATAACTAAATAAACGCCATAATAGAAGGACGTTATATATTCTGCCGCATATTGTGACAGTTTAGCGGCAACAAAATAAAAAGAAATAAAGATATATTTATTGATTTGATTTGCAATATACGTCTCTTTATTATTTTCTAATACTTATTCAACTATGTTAAAAGCAGAAAGGCAGATATCATCCAAGAAAATCAAGCATGAGAATATTGACATTATTTTTTTTAAAAACAATTCAAACCTATCTCTTTCATATATGTCCATTTATTGTACACAACCATGCACCCGACAGCTCATAGCAATTTTTCATAGACACAACATACATTGACAACCCAACTCCTGGATAAAAAATGACCAGTCTTCAATTTCGTCACCTTCTGATTTGAGAATGATTGCCTTCATGCGCATACTAAAGTTTTCTTACCCTTAGAAGTGCAGATGGAGATGCAAGACTCAACAAGTAGTTCAGTCTTGCCTCAGTTAAAGACTGACGTTGAAAAAATCGCCACATTTTTAGTTTAGTTTATCATTTTTAATGGGCCATTTTTTAGCAGATTGTAATACCTTAGCGCCCATAGTAAAACGTTTCATTTATCTAAAAACTACGTTAAATCCGTACCTTTCAAAAATATATTTCGAAAAACATTGACTTTTTTTTAATTTTTAACGCTCTCCGTAAGCGTTGTTCCTTCTTTCCCACTTGATTTTTTTTTTTTTTCGTTTTCGATATACCTACCTTGAAGAGGTTTTGATACTCGTTTTGGCCTCCATATTCAGCACAACAAGCATTCAGAAGGGTCTTTATTTTTGTATTAAAAAATGTTTCTCAATGAACGGCACTTTCATTCTTCTTCAGCCATATCAAACCCTTTGTCTGCTTTTAATTGTTTGTCATTTTAAAGAGAACGCACGGGGTTGCTATCATGATTTTTTTTTTCTGTAGCAATTGGAACACTCTGCCGTCATTTGAAAACAAAATACGTTTTTTTGTTTTTTTTTGGAACGAACATCTTTGCGTTCAGAAGATCACAAGCGTCGCGTGGGGTATTTCAGAGCATAAACAAAACTTTTAGGAAGATTTAAGAAGAACAATAAATCCTATTTTTTTAGTTCAAGTCATCCTCCATAAAAAAGCCTCAAATTAGACGGAATTACGCGTCAGTTTTTTTGTTTTTTTTACATTTTTGTTCTACCAATTATAAATATGATGGCTCTATCTCGCCACTGTGTTTTCCTCTGATCAATGTCGCGCTTTCTACGAGCCAAAATAAATTATTACATACGTATGTAATATGGTTTATGTTTTTCTTACTTACATAGCCTTTAATAAACAAAATGCCTCGTCACAGGACAACGAAAGATAGACCTTGGTTCAAGGTTCTTCCAAGGTGTCGTTCCATCATTCCTAACAAAAATGGCTGAATCTTTCTTGTCAGCATTATGAGGACCACCTCAAGAAAGTTAGGCCCACGGGCTTTACAGCTGGCAGAAATAAAATGCCCAAACTGAGGCAGAAAATCCATTTCATTCCCAGACGTCTTTGGTTTGCAAACGTGTGGTCCCGAAGCACTGAGAACTCGATGCCACACAGAAAATGCACTCATTCTAGACGAGTGGTCGAGAAACTTCAGACATCGTGATGCGTGCTGACGTTGGTGAATAGAAGCGGGTACAAAAGCTGGTGTCCCAAGTCCCAAGTGTAGATAGAGCCGTCGCTTGGATTGTAGCTGACCATGGACGTGTTGCGGAAAGGGTTGCTGAAGTTGAGGGCCATCTCAATGGCTGTCTCCTCGTACAGGTCGAAAGCGAAGTTGATGCGCGTCGCCACATCGTGGACACTGTTCACCGCGTACAAGACGCCACACACGATGAACATCTCACCCACTGTCCGGTGGTCTAAGGTGAGGTTCCACACGCGCTCAGTCTTCATGGCGCTCTCGTGGAACTTCATCACGAGCGTGTTGCTGGACCCGCTGCTGGCGTAGATGACCCAGAGGCCGTTCTCGTCCGCCAGGATGTCCATGGCGTTGTGTTGCGTGGCGTACAAGAGACGTGCGCTGGAGAAATCTTCAGCTAGGTTCAGAGCGGCGGTCGATTTGTTGCCGAGATCAAGTCGGACTATGCTGTCTGTGTTCTCGTGGTGGTAGTAAAGAGATCCGTTGTATACCACCTGTGTGTTACCGCGGAAGGCGTACGGTAGGGAGTAGCGCCGGGAGAAGTTGTTGTCCACGTACTCGAGTAGAGTGGTGTGGTCCCCGTCCAGCGTGACCCAGAACTTGCTGGCGTCGAATGCCCGCTTGTGGCTGTCGCGCATCCACGAGCCCCAGGTTGCGTTGTTGTGCCGGAACAACACTGGCTTGCCAACCTTGAGCAGGTACCGCCGCCTTGCTCGGCATTCTGGGGACACAGATTAAAGCACTTCTACGTACAGCTGCAAACAGAGACTTAGAATACGCTCGATTTTAACTATACTACAAAATTTGTTAAATGTAGCACACTGTGTGACACTGCTAGCGGGAATAAGCCATCGCCTGTTTTGTCTGTGTTTTCTCATCATTGAAGCCGCTTCATAAAAACTTGTATAGTGCTAAATTTTACCCAGCTGGAGTGCTCTCGAATCTAAAACTTTCAGCCTTTCCACTCTCGTGAACAAGGAAGAACAGCGGAGCTGTACTTGATACACCGTGTGCTTCTTCATCGTTGTCGTCTGTTTTTCGCGCTGTTTCCTACGATGAATTCCCACCAACGTGCCCAACTATTCATTCTTCTATTATATACTGGAAAGGTTACCGCCTTCTACGAGCGACGGCGGAAAGCATACTGGTTGTGTGCTTGCCGCCGTCGCTTATAGATGGCGGTAGCTGTCCAGGTAGGTTTGTGTCGACATACACGGACACGATCCTGGGAAACCTAGCCCTTAACTGCTCCGCTGTAAAAAAACAGCGACATGAGCAAGTATGCATTACGAATCGGCGATCTTTCCTTGACGGCACGTTTGATGTGCGTGATGTGCAGCGTCCATTGTTCCGCCAAGGCGCGTAAAGCAAACGCCACAGGCCAAAATACGTCCCCTGCATACAGCATATACGCTCCGTAGAAACAGCCTCAAGCTGCCTAATTGGAAGCGAGAAGATTCCAATTACACATCCTTCTTTTGTAATGAAAAATCAATGGGAAAATCTGCACTATTATAAAGATACTAAAGCTCTTCGCAGTGAACATGCAGTTAGTCCGTTCACCCCCCACCCCCCTCCCCCCCAAACCCCAAAGTGAATACACTGGATTCCATTATCCTAGTATTCTCACCGTATTATTGATACAGAAAGCAACATTTACGTAATTTGATGGGTCTTATGCCACTGAACTGGCAAAATCCAAAAGTACTCCGGACATAAACAAACATTCATAATCCCCAGCAGCACTTCCTAGCTTTCATCACTGCCGCAATGCACAGCAAATAATTTTTACAATTAATGGAACAGCGAACGTACCCCTTGGATGTCTACTGAGTATATATAGAAAATGAAATTCATTTGGCATCCCTTCAGTGTTTGATACTGACTGAGATATAAACAAAACGTATTCCAGTAATCAATTTTTCATTGTGCCCCACTAAAAAAAAAGTCACTCTCTCTTCAAATAAGGGATGGCATCAATGCACAATACTATCTGATTTACTCTGAATACCACACACTAAAAATACAACGCAAGACCTCTAAGCCTTGTTGATTTGAAGCCAACATTTACGACGTAGGGAAAATACATAGATAAAACTCAACTACCTCAGCCCTCCACAAACAGAGGCCGAGAGCACGACAAAATAAAAAAATTAGAAAAGCGCGGTGGTTTCGGAAGAGGAAGGCAGACGGAAATGGAGACGGCATCGTGTTTTACGAGCAAGGTTTACGGACCAGGGCTTACGCCAGCCCGATACGAGAAAATCCTATGTCAGGCTGTCGGATTCCGAAGTGTTGTTCGTCAACTTTCTTTCCTACCTTCGTATGTTTTCTCGAAGGCATCAGATGCCAGATTAACGAGCCACTTACCACTTTGATTCAAATCAACGGCAATTCTTTCCCCACGGCCCACAAGCAAATCAAGACAAAGCCCCGGAGAAGTCAATGATCACTCGCTATATTGGTTTACTTTCTTCGCCACACTACTTCGTGCTTTGTTGAGTCCGGTCTACTTTTTCCTTGCAAGAAATGCCTAACAAAAAACAACTAAAAAAAAAGCACGAAAAGCTACGCCCCGTTACGTCGAGGCAGTGCCATTTATCAGGCTCCTCCCTGCATGTCAGGTGCAAGTTGTAAGGATCGGGTTGCCGGTTCTGCAGAGACAAGACTCTATATCTCTTTCGTATACAACGTGATCCAACAGCATCCTTGGCCTCTCGATTGCATCACATTAAGCGTTTGCTTAACGTATTGCGCTAGTATTTTGTACAGAGGGGTAGACAGCAATGATGTTTGTTCGTCATTATTAAAAAATTGAGCTTAACTGAGCAAAGTGCCAACAACTTAGAGCCTAAGTTTCCTTCCTACGTTGATCGTCTGATAAAAAAAGGTGTCTGATTGGCGCAACAACTGACAGATGAAGGCAAGCACTAGCCAGGGCTAGAGTGCCTTCATACACAGGCTCTTTTTTTTTAAAGCCGGGGTCACACTGCTTATACATCATACAAAAGACGGTCTGCTTACAGATTCCAACGCGAGTCGCCGCGAGATCCGTACTTTGAATAGTGCGTCGCAACAAGTTCAAGGAGAAGCTTGGTACGCGGCATTCGAACCACGGATATTACGGTGACTTGTGTTTGCCGTCTTTCTTTTGCATAATGTACGATTAGTGTGACCCCTGCTTATAAGCTGACATCTGAGCCATATTTCCGTCCAATAGCTTTTTTTTTTTTTTAAGTATTTTGAAAATTAAGTGCGCGCTATCGGGTGTGACTCGGATCAAACACGTGGACTTAGACAATGCTTAGACGCCATTTTTTCTCGTAAGTCACGTACCGCGTCCGCCAGCGCATCACGCGCTCACCACTCAGAGCAACAAAGGATGTATTCACCTTGACACAGACAGATCTGTAGGCACCGTAGCAGACTATACGTTTCGAGTCAAATGCTTGCTGCCGGCTGCGATCTTTTGCTTGATTTTGTTATTTTGACTAATGAAACACAATAAATAGACGAGAAAAACAAGAAAGAAGATACCTGTTTGGCCAATTTAGGCTATATCTCAACAGCTGTTTTTTCTCGGCTGTCGCGTAACCCAGCTGTCTTTCATCTGCAGACGGCCACCGTGGACAGCGAATTCACGTTCTTAATTTAAATTTTTTGTCAGGTATGTTCATTTTTTAAAGTTTACAACGCAAAACGCATCTCTTCTTCCACCTCTGTTTAAAGTCTAAACCCCGATGTGTTCAAGGTAAGTCAAAGAGGTTCTTGAAAAAAAAAAACGAACTTGAGGTGAATTCTAGAGTATTTTTGTCTTGTGAATTTTAATATCACAAGAAATTGACCAGCATGTATCAATAGACGGGTAAAAAACCGAAACACCAACCGTTGGGTGTGACGTTCTACACAAAGGTTTCAAGGGTATCGCGCTTGCCGTTTGTGAGAGGACGCCAACAGGTTTTTTGATTGCTCGGGTAAGACATGAGGAAGGCGCAGAAATGTTGAGATGTCTATATAATACGTCATATTTTTTTCCTTCCACCGTTCACGCCGGGAAGGAGAGGCTTCAGCGCTATTTTGAAAGTGCTGTGTGGCCGACTTGGTGCAATAATCTAAAATAATTTTTTTATATGCCGTATTCCGGAAACCAAATGATTTTGATTTAAGTATTTTCTTAAGAGGCACTTCAGTTAATCTTTAGGAAAACAACTTATGCAGTTCTTTCAAAGGGCCAATAATCAATTTAACTTACACAGTATATTTCTCACTTAATGAATATAATTCTATACTTTGTTTGACTGCGACTCGGAGTCATAGCAGAAGCCACTATCTAGATAACCAATTGTAGCACCTAGGAAGAGACACGTGATACTTGCCTACGAGCGTGCGATCTTTCTCATGTGCCTTCCTCCAACACCCTTTTTCTATTTACTAGTTCAGTAGACTTGATATATGCTATGCCGGAACAGTGCATGTCACCAACGTGATCCTGTTCCAGTATTAAGTAGCCTTTTAAGGTTGTCAAGCACTGTCATCACGTATTTCGCTGGAACTGCGAGAGTAATGATGTGTGATTTGTGCTAATTAATGCGACTATTGACATTATCGGGTACCCGACATTTCATCGAGCACCGTTTCATCAAACGGCGTTTCATAAAATGAGTGGACATTTTATTGAACGACGATTTACTGAAAGTCTTTCCTTAAATTGCTTGGCGCCGTTTCATTGAATTTCACTTCACCGAGGTTGGGAACATTATAGTCCTTTTTATATGTTTTCCTCTGGCTTGTGTGTTGTTTTCAAGCTGCTGTGAAAATACTAAAAAATAAAATTACTAACCTGGACACATTTTACCAAAAGTGTGATTGCAGAATTATAGGACATAAAAATGGAATGGGTATGGGACCCACTGGTTTTCCAGGAAGCTAAGCGGCTGTGCTCCACCACATGATTTGCTTCCTATTTGTATACCCATAAAAAATACTATCTTGAAAAATTATAACTATTCCTTGCCGCACCTTTTTTTTCATTAATCTATTACTTCTTTTTTTTCATTCTATTCTAGGAAAGTAGCTTCCTTCCTTAGAACATAGGTTAAAGGGCTGCAAATCACGCTTCTGGCGATTATAAAAAAAGAAGTGATGACAGGTGTTATAAAACATGAGGGATGTGTCGCCTTTTATTATTCGCCACATTAGCAGCACAAGTCATTACTTACTCTAAAAAATGGCAGCCGTAGCGGAAAAACAAATTAATTTTTTTCGTATTAACTTTCCTCTTCCTAGAAAAATAAAACCTGCTATCCTCCGATGTTCAAAAAATTTCTAGATCAAAAAATTTCTAGATCAAAAAATTTCTAGATAAAAAAATTTCTATTCTTCAACTAAGCGGTGTACGATGAAAAGCTTTGATGAAACAAAGTTTGGTGAAATGGCGGTCCATGAAACGGCTTCGATGAAGCAGTGTTCAATTAAACGGCGTTCGATTTAATGTCCAGATCCTCCCGTTATATATATGAATGCACTTCGCTCCCGCCCCTGTTCTTGTATTCTCTCTTTACCTGCCGTTACTTGTCTCTTCATTCTTCCTGACCCATTTTCCATCGTCACCCATGTAGTATTATATTTACCTTTGTTGAGATATTTGTATCACAAGAAGCCTAACGAGCAAAAAAGAAAAGCTTATAGCAGCAGTGTCTTGACTTGAACTAATTACTATATTGAAAAAAAATATATATACATACAACGGATTTCACTTAATGTTAGCTCAAACTGTTATTTCGAAGAGTTATCAAGATTCTGAATTGCGTGAGACAAGTTTTTCTTATGGGGAACAATGGGATACTTTCCGTATAGAACATAAATTGAACACAATGAGGATAAAGTGCTAAAGGTTCAGGAATCGCATTAATAATATTAAGCGCACGCACTAAGTGTTAACTCGGAAGACTATAAGACTCAACGAATGGTTTAATAAAAAAACGGGTTTTCACCTTGGTCTCGGGGCTTCAAAGGCAGCCAGTGGGATCGATTGTAAATTGTATTGATGCTCGCCACGTTGAAGAGTCCAGGTTTTCCTGCAGCTGAGCATGAAGTGGTGTCATACGCTTTGACACTAACACAAAAAACTTTGGCAGCGATCTTTATCTCCAAAGTCCGATGATGCATAAAATGCGTTAGTTAAGGTGCTTAAAATAATTTACAAATATTAAACCGTCGTTTCGGGAATTAAAGAACCTTTATTCTTTATTCATTTCCCCGATACATTGAGCGGGAAACTAAATTGGCGTATATGTCTCGAGGTCACGTGACATTAATTTTTCTGTTAAATTTAGGCGGGAAATTGGATTGGTGTCAATGTCACGTGACGTCAGGTCAGGATTCATAAGTTTTCCCGCCGACTTTGGCAGGAAACTTAATTGTTGTATAGATCACGTGAACTCAGGTAGCATTACACATATTGACGTCACGTGACTTAAACACAGATTCAGTTTACCCACTAAATTTTGCGGGAAACGAACGGACAAACGAAAAAATTTTAGGGATAGAGATTTTGGAATCCCGTTAAAAGGCATGTCATGCTTTAAACTAGCGGATACAGAATAAGAAAGCATAGGCTTCAGAAACAATGTGAGTGCCCATAACATTCTCTTAACTATGCGCAGCCACTGGTAAGATGATTGCCTAGATTTTATATGTACATATATTGACTTTATTATTAAATGCGACACTTTGGCAAGCAATGTACTGAGATCAATGCCAGATGAAACAATGTCGCTTTTAACCTTACCTTTTTTGTTTAATGCCACAACGGCTTAGTGTTAGCTTTAGTGAAACCTTTACAGGCATACATAAGAGCTGCATGATTTGGACACGAGGTGGTGTGAGTCCTTAAAGGGTAACTGCAAAGAAAAAAATGTATTTTTAAACAGCCTAATTGGGACAAGCATGTCACAAAACAAGTTTTCCAACAAAAACAAATTTTTTTACGGCAATATTTATTCCGCGGGACTGATTTTAGTTTGCGGCTATTTCGTCCGTTTTAAATCGCGCGCCACAAAGATGGTATTATACGTCACGGAGTGGCTGCAATACGTCAGGGAGTGACGTAATCCAGCCACTCCGCGCCCGTCGAAAGAGCGGGAGTTTCAAATGTGGAGAGGTTGTGACTCCGACTAAATTACGTCCTGTGGCGTAACTAATGCTCAAAAAGATTTGTTTTTTTCGCCGAAGATTTGTTTTGTGGCATGCTTGTCCCAGTTAGGCTGTTTAAAAATATACTTTTTTTTCTTTGCAGTTACCCTTTAACTTGGCCATAAATGAACGGCCTACCTCGACTGCTAAGTGGTATCGTGGTCACATTAGGGCGTCGCAGCATCGTTCCCAAACACAAACTTGCCAGAATAAATAGGGACGCTCATTCCCGACCGGGTGAAGTACTTTCAGCAACAAAAGATCAAAACATGAAATTAAAAAAAAAAGAAAGACGTTTACAACACCTTGTAACGCCGAATTGGAGCGCAGCTCTTGAGGAAGAGGAGGGAAGGGTACTGGAGGGGAGGGTATACCTCTCCTCCTTCCTTCTCACCTCCTCATTCTCCCTGCTACTCGTCCTCCCATCCTCCCTCCTCCTTCTCCTCCCCCTCCTCCCTCTCCCCCTCCCTCTCCTCCTTCTTCCTCCCCCTCCCACTCCTCCCCTCGTCCTCCTCCTCCTCTCCCCCTCGTCCTCGTCCTCTTCCTCCCCTCCTCCTCCTCCTCGTCTCACTCCTCCCCTCCCCCTCGTCCTCCTCTCGCTCCTTCTCCTCCCCGCCCAGTGCATTGTGGGACATTTCCCATAATGCACCGCGCGGTTACGCCGACGCCGCTGAAGCCGGAAACGGGCACCTAAGAGCTGCGCTCTAAAAATTGTCGTGAAATGCCTCTACTGGATATTCCAATAGCATGGCTTTTTAGAGCGTGAAATCCGCGGATCCTAAGCAGTCAAGATACGCCGGGTGTTAGAGGAGAAAAAAGCACCGCATGTGTCTCAACGCCAGACTTCGTCGCCTGTACCGTGCTACCCAATACCGTCCTCATCAGGACCGCCCATATCGCACTATATTCGGGAACAACTTTTCTTGGCATTTCCGGGGAGAGGAGCAGCGCCCGCGCATAGCTTTGTTCAGTGCTCAAAATGGTCGCGGAAACGTGTGCCTGTACCTTCCACTGCATTACCGAGTTGTTTTTGTTTTCGTATCGGAATGGGAACTTTTACGATTCTTTACAATAGCCTTGCTCATTCCAGCTGGCCTGATATTTTACCGGACCGAAACGCGTATTCTGCCACTACTAAATTAACTTTAGTATTATGTTATGCGATGAGGGATTTTATACCAACGCAGCAAGCACGTAAATCTATGTATCCTAGCTGGTTCTCAAGAAAGAAAACCGTATAAAGTCGCACTATAATCGAATGTATAGAGAAACTGAACTGAACGTCCAGTGCGTTCAATTTAGCGTTTATCGTGCTCTATTGAAAAGGGTATAAAAGATGCATAAATGTTTGCACCTATTGAATGTCAAAAATAAAATAAAACTTTTAACTAAGGAATTTTGGAGGTTATGGAACAATGCTAAAAACAATATGTACAACAATGCACAAACTTTCTACTCACGAGAGTCAACTGGCTCGATGTCCACGTCAACTTGCATAGCCGATCGTTTTTCTCATTAATTTTGTTCCTCCCATTCTGGTTTGAAAACTGCTGCTAGAATCCAAAATTTTGACAAAAGCACGTACTTCTTTTTTTAGACCGCAGCTCTTAGGCGCCCGTTTCCGGTTTGAGCGGCGTCGGCGTCGGCGTCGGCGTCGGCGTCGCCATCGGCGTCGGCGTAACCAGTCACCCCAAGGTCACGTGACCCCCCCGGTCACGTGACCCCCAAGGTCACCTCAAGGTCACGTGACCCCCCAGGGCACGTGGCCCCCCTCCCCACCGAAGTCACGTGACCCCCCCCCCCCCACGAGGTCAGGTGACCCCCCCGGAGCATATTAAAGAATGAGGGGAGGAGGAGGAGGAGGGGTCTACCCTCCCCTCAGTACCCTTCCCTCCTCCTCCTCAAGAGCTGCGCTCCAATTCGGCGTTACAGGGAGTTGTAAACGGCTTTCACTTTTATTTTAGAGCGCAGCTCTTAGGCGCCCGTTTCCGGCTTGAGCGGCGTCGGCGTCGCCGTCGCCTTAACCGCGGTGCATTATGGGTAAATTTCCCCGCTAAATCTAGCGGAAAAATTTCCCCGCTAAATCTAGCCGAAACATTTCGCCGCTAAATCTAGCGGAAAAAATTCCCCGCTAAATCTAGCGGAACAATGTTTCTGCTACATCTAGCGGAAAAATTTCCCCGCTAAATTTAGCGAAAAAATTTCCAAGCTAAACAGCGGAAAAATTTCCCCGCTACATCTAGCGGAAAAATTTCCCCGCTAAATCTAGCAGAAAAATTTCTCCACTAAATATAGCGGGAAAATTTTCCCGCTAAATCTAGCGGAAAAATTTCTCCACTAAATTTAGCGGAAACTTTTCCCACTAGGTCTAGCGGAAAAATTTCCCCGCTAAATCTAGCGGAAAAAAATTCCCCGCTAAATCTAGCGGAAAAAGTCCCCCGTTGAATGTAGCAGAAAAATTTCCCCGCTAAATTTAGCGGAAAAATTTCCCCGCTAGATCTAGCGAAAAAATTTCCCCGCTAAATCTAGCGGAAAAATGTTCCCGCTAAATCTGGCGGAGAAATTTTGGTCACGTGACCGGGGGGGTCATGTGACCTGGGGAGTCACGTGACCCCTCCCCATAGGTCACGTGACACCCCCAGGTCACGTAACCCCCTTCCAAGATCACGTGACCCCCTCCCGAGGTCACGTGACCTCAGAGGGGGGTCACGTGACCCTTTCCCTCATGTCATGTGACCCCCCCGGGAACACGTGGCGCTCAGTACCCTTCCCTCCTCGTCCTCAAGAGCTGCGCTCCAATTCGGCGTTACAGGGTGTTGTAAACGGCTTTCACTTTTTTTTATCTGCTTTTACTGTCGATGTCACAGAAGTTCTCCAAGCCAAATGAAAACCTTAGTTATCGACGGGAACTCACGGTATACACAATTTTATCACTAAGGCTTGTTCTGATGTATTTGCTCCGCTTATGAACCATATATTTACCCTCCCTCTTACGAAAGGTATTTTCCATGTTTGTGGAAATCATCTATTGTTGTACCTATCTTTAAAACTGGTGATCTATCGCTCCCGTCCTGCTTAGTTACTATATGGTTTCGGAAGGTTTTCAAAATGGGTATGCATAACCGGGTTTATAGTTCTCTTAGCCAGGACAGCAGTCCTGTTCTGCACGGTATTTAGAGGAAAAGCCCGTAGAAACAATTTTTTTTTTGTCTTTTATAGAACTCTGTGTACCGGTAGGCTCCAGCAGAAGCCAACTTGACGTTGTATATTTTGACATGTCGAAGGCCTTCGAACGTGTAGATCATTCTTTACCTTATTGCAAACTTTGTTTTTTGTCAAAGCTGTGTGCTGGGATAGTTGGTATTGTTTTTTGACCTCTAAGCTTTGTGAACGGTTCAAGACCAACTTATATTTGTGCAGTAGTAGCACTGTTCGTGTTGGCAAATCGCTTTCAAGCTGTCTCTATCGATTCTGGTGTACCTCAAGGGTTGAACCGGGGACCCTTCTTATTTATTTTTGTTTGTAAAGGATATAATATCATTACCAAGAAATCGGAAGATTGTCTTTTTCTCCTGTGTGTTTGGGACTTGGAGTCTCCTATGTGATAGGTAATTGCCTTTGGAATCTACATTGATAGTATACTTTCATTTACCGCGTTTTTTCTAAGGTCGTTGGTTCAGCAATAAGAAATTTGGGAATGATCACTCGGTAATCACGGTCTTTTACTTCACCATGATCTCTGGTGTGTCGTTTTCGCTGTCTCGTACACACGGGACTTAAATTAATTTGTATTTGTTGGAACTTGCGATATTTAACTGGAATTAAAATGGTTGACAATGTACAGTATTTCTTTTGAATTATTTACGATTGGTAGATTTGTAGGAAACTGCCTTTTTGTTACGGTTGGTTGCTATCTGGTTGCTATATTTATTAAATTTTGAAACCTATTAACGAGAAGAGCTATTAGATATAATAATTTTTTTCATAGGGCAGTAAATAACACGGTTAGAATTAAGTTTCCTTGTAAGTATAGACATTCATGTGCCACAAGACCTTGTCGTCAATTTTTAATACATTATCCTAATATAATTTTTTAATTGACACCTGATCCCTTATACAGCCTGCTTTTAATATTGTAGGCAATTTGAACTTAATAAATGTGTTATATTTCGTTCACTTTAAATTAACTCTGAAGGAGTGTGTGTTATCTAACTCACAGTTTGTGTAGTAACTTGATCTGCAAACTCGTATTCGTGTATTTCCACATTGTTGCGCGTCTTTTACACAGTGTTTTTGTAAACAAGAACTGACAGTGTACAATACAAAAGACTTCGCAGCTCTTTGTGGGTACAAAGAAAAAAATAAAGCAATATATTTATTATGATTATTATTACCAGCAGTAATATTTATTATAATAAACAACACTAAAACGCTACATATAGGTGCTCAGGTGTAGCGCTAGTGGTGAGGACCAAATAATACATTTTCGAAACTTACCGTTATCCGTTTAAAGAAGTTAACAGCAATTTTCGGAACATTTCTTTGAGAATATAACAACTAACGAAGTCCGAGAATAGATAAAGATGAATGGTGTCTGCTACTAAGAATGGATTCCATTTTCTCACTAAACATTAAAAAAATGCTAGAATATTTTAATTTAGCAAGAGTAAGCTCTGAAACGTTGGCACCTGGTCACTATCAGTAGCGCTATAATATTTTGAGGTGATAACAACACTGTTCTTCTATTCCCCAAATACCCCGTATTTTATAACAACATTTACAACTTGTTTTATGCTTTACAGTCTTCACATTGTAAAAACATATTTTCATTATGAGGTAGTTTTGAGGATTTTTTGGGTCGCCAGAGAAAAGATACTGTTTTGTCGAATGTCAAGAATTGGTGTTTGTTGCGAAAGTAAGACGAGGCCCTAATAATTAGGTGTCTTAATTGGGTACCTTTGATGCGGGGCGCGCATTCGTGATTGGACGGACAGTCGGGACAAACCGGACACTCCGCTTCCGTTATCCGAGGAGGAGGAGCTATTAGAGAAGGGGAGGGAAAAAGTAAGGAACGTAAGTGCATATTTTTGGAACGCCCGAGAGAAGAGTACCACCTACTAGAAGGTGAGGCATGCGCATTACGTCATCAATGTCAGATCTTCAAAACAACTCAAAGGCTCGCCGAATTTTGACGAGATAATGCGACAAGGCGGCAGACGCAGGACACTTCGCGTCACCGTGTAGCGAGATGCTGAAAACGCATTCGTGGCAACGCGGATGCGAACAATATGTCTCTTTCTCGATCCGCTCTAGTCACTGACTGTACGCTCTCAGCTAACAGTTAATGAGCGAACTTGGAAACAAATAAAAATCTAATCAAGGTTCAGCATCAATATTTACGCCACTATAGTATTTCTACAAATTGCGAAACATGTTCCACGGTCCTGTAAGGCACTCGCGGTTGACGCGTACTGCGAAGCAGGGCTGGGGGCAAGCGAGACCACAACTCTACAACTGAAAAGGAGTCCTCGTTGCCTCTGGAGTGCATAAGGAGAACGCTTTCGTGAGAGACATGTCCAGACGACGGAAGGTGTTAGACGAGGAAGATGCGCCGAGAGCTTCTTTCCGTGGCTGCTCCATAGTGCGCGCTGACCGACCTCTGGAGTGGCGACGAATGAATTCGTCCAAAGACACTGCTAAAGGCGTTTCGGCCGTTTCAGCACACAAAAGGGTTCGCTGCAGCCTGGCTACCGCAAAAAGCGCACATAAAAAAAAAAAAAAAACCGCTTGATTTAATCATTCTTCAACGCAAACTAAGGAACCGCGTTTGCACGCACTTTCGTAGGTTTGTGATAAAAGACTTATAAAAGTAAAAAAAAAAAAAAAAAACAATGTAGATATTACAAGTGCAAGAAAAAGGACGCCACTGCAGACATTCCGCGGGACATTTGCGTGGCAACCGACGTGACGACACTGCTTTTGTATTGTCGGCTTAAGAATCTCCAGCTTGGTAGAGCGAACAAAAAAAAAAAGAAAAAATTTTAGAGATAATTTTTTTTTTATAATTTGTTGTTATTCTCAAGCTACGTGCGGACGGTCGATTATAGTGGCGATCATATCGCGGGACCGCTTTTGCAGCACATTATTGGAATAATGTCGAACTTGGATTTACAACAACACAAAGTTGGGCGAGTTGGTTTGACATTATGAAAGGGGAACAGCGCAATAATAAACGACGGACGAGTAGAAGAGGTGACGACACTCAGGGCGATACTACCCTTACGGGGTAGTATCGCCCTCTTTTGAGCTCCTGCAAAATATGTAAACTTGATATCCTCAATGTCTTAAAAATGTGCGAGCATGATGCGTCTCACCTCATATCACTCCTCTCATCTATGCCGTAACGTTTCGGGATTTCTTGAATTCCTGCTACATTTGCATTAGATACCGAGGTTCTGCACTCTAAATGAAGTGTGTGCGTCTACTTTCACGCACAGCACTCGGAGAGCCAGTCACTGCAACTTACGGACGCAGCTCAGCGAATGACACTGCCGAAACACATGTTTAGATCAAAAAATCCCGTCTGATTTGTGACATTAAGCAATGCAAAACGTCACGCTTGCATTGCTTAATGTCACAACTTAGACTGCGTTTTTTACTCTAAACATATGTTTCGGCATCGTCATTCGCTGAGCTGCCTCCGTAAGTTGCGGTGATTGCCTCTCCGAGTGTTGTGCGGGGAAGCAAACTCACCGGATTTTTCTAGAGTGTGGCTCACACCTCAGTAACAAAGAAAACTCGCTCAGACTAGTGGTACTGTTGACCAAAGGAAACGCCTAACAAGGTCTGATTTTTTTGTCCCTCTGGACAGTCACGCAGATACGCGAGCGGGAATTTTTTTTTTCTTTTTTTGAGGAACGCTTGATTGGTGACTTACGTTCAAACAAGCGCTGACAGCAGGACCATCCATGTGGAGCAGATAGTGGGGAGCCTATCGATTTGAACTGCCGTTATCATCTGCGCCTCTGTCACCACGGTCTGATTGAAAGGAAGAGAGGATTCTCGAAACGGTAGATGATAACGCAGTTTGAGTTGATGGGCTCCCTCTATCTGCTCCACATGAACGAGTCCTGACATCAGTGCTAGTTCGAACCTAATCCACCGCTCGCGTGCAGCTATTTAGTATCTGCAAGACTGTCTTGACTCTTGAGGCGCGAGAGATATTTTAACGCTTAGCTTTATGAAGCTCGTGTACCAGAAAAGCAGGCGTTCGTAGCGTGCACTAAAATCCATTGCTGGTCGATAGGATCATAACGACACAGCCACTTGACCTCGCGCGGGAATTTCAAACAACCCACAATTAACGCTCACGTGAAACGTGGCGTCACGAGTGTAGATGAAAGTGATTAGAAAACGTGACATGTAATGAAATTTAAAGATCGCCGCATGTCTGGAATGATTTCACTTTATGAAGTAGTTCATTCGGGTTAAGTCTACATTTGAAGAATTTTAGGCATGATTCGAACCCCTCGGGTTGCTAGCCGGACACGCTATCGACAAGGCCACGCGAGGCACGCTTGCACGGCTTGGGAACGAGAGGGAGTTTATTGGTTTATATATTTCGCTATCGCGCTCCACTCTTAAAGGCGAAGCTTAATCGACCTTCAAGTTTTAACCACGAAGTAGTCTCTTTCTTTTATTTTTATTTTTTTTTTTTTTATATCACGCGACTAGCCGACAAGCGCGGACGTTCTTCGGTTAACTTCCACGTCCTCATTTCACAAAGTTTCCACATCTATCTCTCGATCTCGACTTCTCTGTACTTATTCACTCCTCGACCTTTTTTTTATACTCCGTTTCACAATTAAGTCAGACCGCAGCCAACGTTAAGTCCCGATAAAGCCAATAAAGCAGCGTCCAATGTGCACCGTCACAACGCTCGTCGTCTTTGTGCGTTTGCTATCAGCAACAATAACTAAAAAAAAAAGACCAGCACAGCATTGTGTAGCGTTTGTAGTGCGTGAAAGGTTTAACAGTGAATAGAAAACGCTATGAAGCGTTTTAAGTGGCTGCAACGGATTGTAGCGTCGGATGATGTCGAAGTTATGCGGAGAGCCAGTTCGTCTGTTTCTTTGCAGGAGTTGCGATGATGTCAGAAAGCCGAGTTCTTATTGGCTGATGGAAAAAAAAATAGTAGGTAGACCTTAAGGCATCTAGCATTGACGTCTGCCCACTATCCTTTCAATCCCAGACAATCACAGCTCGGCGTTGTTCTGACGTCACCGCCAACTCCTGTACAAGAAGCAGACGACTTGCTCTCCGGATAGGCTGAAACGACAAACAGCTAGAAAGTTTTTTTGTTTGTTTTTTTACGCTACGCGACTTTCTTTGCAATAATGGGACACTCTTATTGAGAAGGAGCTCAGACCGTGGCGCCCCAGGCGGCTAGCTTTAAAACTACACAGATAAGACGACAATTAACATTGACTCCAAGCTCGGCTGATTTAACCGAATGCCGCGTCAGCATTCAGGTTCAGTTCGTGGTCTCCGGTGAGGGGGAGTAAGGGATCTTTTGTTTCCACTCCGGCCTGCATGAACAATTCAGCACGCACGGTGTATATTCCCAGCTCGGCAGAAATGCCAATGTGGGACAAGCTCGCATTCTCTAACGACTACTTTCGGGAGAGTTCCGGCACTAAAAATAAACATCACTTCGTTTATTGTTAGTATTTTTACGTTTATTCGTGACGATGTACACAAAGCCTGTGTGCATGTTCATAGGCCTTGTGTTGGGTAAACACGGAGGAGTGGGGACGACAAACGTTTCAGAGCGCCCCCTATATTTCGATCACCTTGCCAATACTCGGACGGAACGCCGCTGAACAAGAAGCGTCTCCGTTATTGTGTCATTTCAAGAAGGAAAGCGAGCGTTTTAACGCGAAAGCGTTAGGGAGCTCGTGTCCCAGAGAAGCCGGCCTTGGTGGCGTGGCCGAAAATCCAGCGTCGGTGGCGTGACGCGAAAACTTTTGACTGGTTGATAGGGTCATGACGTCACAGCCGCATGACTCGCGGGAATTTCAAAGAACCCGCAACACTCGCGTGAAACGTGACGTCACGCGGGGAATGAAAGTGATTAACAAACATGACGTGTAATGCGAATTAAAGAGAACCAAACGGATTCTGTATTTGAGAGAAAAAAAAAAACAAATCATCTTCTTTTGACCTTCAGGATTACGAATATCACGATTAGATTTCATTTTCATGCACGGAGGCTGCAGAAATTAATTTTTAAAGGACTGCTGCTATGGGGTATCCACACGAAGGAGAAATCCGCCCCTTTCGTCCGCGGAGCGCGCATCACGTGAGACATACGTCATCCCTTTTTGACGCCTCGCGGCGCCGTTCTCCTCCGTGGCGTAGGCGCGGAGGCTTCGTGCTGTCAGCGCGAAAGCTCCGCAGGTGCACGCCGCGGAGCCGGGGGCGGAGTTTCCCGGGTTGTTGACGTCACGACATCCGTCCGCGGAGTTCTCCTTCGTGTGGATACCCTTTACCGGGGCCTGATCTCACACTAGGAGTTTTCAGAATATCCCCCTGCTATGCAGCTATGCTAGCTATGCACGCGCACTTTTGCTATTTTCAAAAAAGGTCAGAAATGGACGTCACGACTGGCGTTAGTGCGGAAAAATATACCTGGTAAGCATGCAATAGCACTCACTACTATGACGACACCAGTGGTCAAAGGTTTTTCGTGTTTTCTCGCTTTTAGTTACATCTTCGGGTAAAAGGAACGTGATATCCAAATCCAAGGGATAAAAATATTCCAGAATTCACTTCTAATCGTTTTTTTTTTTTGAAGAAGTGTTGCAGCTTCCCTTAAACGGTCGCCGCATGTCTCAAATGATTTCACTTTATAAAGTAATATATTAAACTTAAAAAGAAAAAAAAAAACATAACAATTTGAAGCGGGACTTAATCCCACGACCCTTCAGTTGCGAGACAGATACGGTACTGACTATGCCATTATGCCTAGTCGTTTTTTGTTTCTTTATTGCACACCGTGCTCAGTCGGTAGCCACCGTGTCCGGACCTCGGCGCGTGTCACGTGCTTTGCCAACCCCAGCGCGTGACTGATAAACATTGCCGGCATATAATCGGCTCCAGATCACGTGGCCGCTTGTTCTCGCTGAGATACGAGGAAGCGAACGCTGCTCGTTCTGCGTTCTTTGTTTCTGCGACTACCATTGCACGGGAACCAAATCTAACGTGTTTCATATGGGCTCTATATGCCAGGCATTAATTTTAAGCTGTATCTGCGCAAGGTACAAACATCGTTGCACCGCCACTTACAGGATGTTTTTAAGCCTCTTGTGATTGCCCGCGACCAAGCTGCGTTTCTACGCAGAAGGTCCTAAGCAGTCACAAGAGGCTTAACAACCGCGTTTTTATCCTCGCTGGTCGTAAATATTCGGAAGTGTCTAAGTCAGCCCTTCGAAGGAAATAGACTATAGGGACGTCCGGTCGGATAAAAGAAATGATAAATTAGAAATAAATCAAATAAAAGAAATACGCTGAACTCACCGTGACCGTAGAGTGTGTAACTGTTTTCTTCGGCGGGAGGTGGAATTTTGGACGGATCCACTTCTGCAATAAAACATGTCATGATTTCTTACTGCCTCTGCGCCGATACTCCAAACATATCTGTAAATATATGTGGTCAACCTGACCCCTTCAGAAACGCAAAAAACATGTTTAACAACGCTCAACTTAAAAAAAAAATTCTATTGCTTCGGTAACATGTATTACAAAAATAAACTTTCCCTAGAGAAATGTCATATTTTTTTTTTTGTAATAACAATTTTGAGTGAAGTAAGGTTCCGAAAGAAGCTTCAACGTCGAGACGTCGACACGTAGATACAATCATAATCCGGGATCACACAAGTCGGCCCTGAAACGTAAGTAGTACAGCAGTCCTTATTTAGGAGGACAGTGAATTTTGAAACAAGTGCTTTATCCAAGTACCTGAAAAAAAAATATTCTTTTTTTTTATTTACTTAGTTGCACAATTTTTTTTTCCAATTTGCCGAGCTGCGATGGCTCAAGGATCGTACCTGAACAAAATTTATCCAGCGCATTCGGAAGACAGTTGCTCCGCTGAAGTAAACAGGGCATATTGCCGTTGAAGTTACTCGGGAAGTTTTTCCCAATAAATTTAAAAGTGAATCTTACCATGAAACCTGACTTTACTACATGACCCTACCACGTCAAGCGGCGTGACATGCACCTGTAAACGCATTCTGTGTTAAAAATAAAAAAAGTTTGACGGGAGCCTAAAGATTTTATTTTTGACGAGGCATTGGTTAGCTCTTATTCGATGGCTAATCACCAAGAAAGCTCTTCGTGCAACCAATGAAACTACTCGGCACGTGGAATAACCTACACAAAGACGCCAGTGTCTTCCTCGCGTCCTGGTTTTTAGGCGCTTCACAAGTTAAACACTTACCAACCGCCCTACCTATCCATTTTAAGGCCGGTTCACACATACAGAGGAGCGCCAAGTTAGCGATACGTGAGCGCTCGAAGGAGCGCCCATGTGACGGTTCCTAGTGCGTGACGTTGCGCTTGGTTAGCGCTTCAGCAGCGCTTTGTTAGCGCTTCAGCAACGCTCTGTTGGCGCTTCAGAAGCGCTCTATTAGCGCTCTTACGCTCCTTGTTCCGTGCTTGCTGCTGCGGAACAGCGCATGCACGGCCATTCCGTTGTTGCTGTTTTTTCCTTTGGTGGCGAAAGAAGAGAAAGTAAAAGAGCCGCTCTCTAAGCAAACGCTCGGGCAGATGATCCAGAGTCATGAACTTTGAGCGACAAATTGATTGGGTAAGACCTTATTGATTTCTATTCGACATGAGTGATCCTGCTTTCAAAGACACGCAGTTAAAAAAATAATGACCTTCGAAAGAACTCTTGTCCCTCAGGCTGGGAACAAGGTTCGCCATGTAGCCGTCGGTATCTCGGTACCGAAAGTCGTCTACACACATAAGCACGAATTGCGTATGGAACAGCATTTGTCGCATTTCTACATCAGCGTCCCACATGTTCGCCATGTATTCGCAACTTTCACGACCTATAGGGGGCGCACTGGTGCCTATCAAAATGGCTGTCATCTGGATGATCGTCGTAGAACAACAGTGCGAGGCTAGGTCTGCGACGCGTGAGTATAATACTAGTTTTGCTATATACAAGCAGTATTAGAGCCTTAGTTTATTTTTTTTTCACGTCAGAAAGGTGTTGGCAAGCACCTTTTTAGCAAGGAAGCACGATTCTCAAATCGCGGTACCACCGTTGCAAAAGTTGCGAATAGTGCTGCTGATGCACCCAACCACACGAACAGGAACCGCGGTGCACTCGCTAATCCGCAGCAGTGACCGCGGTGCAAGAAGCGCTAACAAGGCGCTACTGAAGCGCTGACAAAACTCTACAAAAGCGCTAATCGCGCGCTATAGGGAGTATTCACTGACGGCTATATCTGTGTGCGCGGCTGCTGAGCGCGTGCTGACTGCGAGCTTCCGCATTTCTTTTGCCACCTGCATTCCGCACCATCAATATTGCCGGTTTTTACAGCCTATTAATGTGAGCTCGTTCTGAACATGCGCCGTAAGCAGCACTCTCAAATATGGCGTCCAGTGAATACCCTCTATAGGCCCGTAGCTCTCAAGCAGAGCCGTGTATTGGGAGAGTTTGGCCAATAGGCGGAGCAAAGGCCGCCGCCAGCGCCGAATATTCCCCCCGCGCTTAGAGCGTGAACTAAATTTTGTGACACAGCGTGGACCAATCAGGAGACCGCGACGTCACATCATTGCAAACGACATTTAAAGCGTGAAATAGAAGAGTTCAATCTCGGCGTCTGTACTCCATCTCACAAATGTCTGAAGTAAAGACAAAGGCACAGGCGCGTGAGCGTAGCTCAGCAAAACGCTTTTGTTTGTACGAGAACTCGTGCATAGGAGGCACTTTCCAAAGCCACGCGCTCGTGCCCATATATGCCTTTGTCTGCACTGCTGATGTTTGTGCAGATGGAGTATAGGTGACAGTAGTGCCACTAAATAAGCTACGCATTAGAGTAACGACACTTAGCCATATTGTGTCTTAAAATCATGGTTGCCAGTTATCTCAAGGTTTATCTGAAATCGCAGGAAACGCCTTTCCCCCTCCACAAATGTCTAAACAGTTCGCGACAAAGCAAAGCAATATTGCATGACCTTCCTAACACCAAATCTAATGCTGAAGAAGTCGCACTTTTGAATATGACGATCGGCAGTCGGGTCTGCTCTGCATACGAGCCAAAATGGCGGCGCCCACAACAATGCCGGGGAACGGAGTGCCGATACTCTAAGCGCACCTCATTTAATGGCTCTAGGTGACAGTTCGCTCTGGGCCGGCTTGCTAGAACAGCGTCTAATACCCCTGTTACACGGGAACACTTAACCGCGGTTAACTCAACTTAACTGCTGTTTCGCGGCACCACAGATACCGCACTATACTCTCTGACAGCTATATCAGAAGAAGTGAAGAGCGCGCGCGCACTGCTTCGATAGATGCTCAAAATGCTCAAGTGCACGTTCGCCCATAGCTTTGACTGCATAGCCGCAGAATGTTGTCCGCAAGTATTGTGCGCTATCTGCGGCTTAGCGTAACTGCAGTTAAATGTGCTCGTGTAACTGCGGTTTAATACCCCTGTTACACGGGCACACTTAACCGCGGTTAACTCAGCTTTAACTGCGGTTACGTGGCAGCACAAATGCCGCACTATACCCTCGGAGAGCTATTTCAAAAGAAGTGAAGAGAGCGCGTGCACTGCTTTGATGGGTGCTCAAGATGCTCAAGCGCACGTTCGCCCATAGCTCTGACTGCATCGCCGCAGAATGTTGTCGGCAAGTATCGTGCGCTAATTGTGGTTTAGCGTAACTGCAGTTAAGTGTACCCGTCTAACAGCGGTATTATATCCCTGTTACACGGGCACACTTAACTGCAGTTACGCTAAACCACAATTAGCGCACGATACTTGCCGACAACATTCTGCGGCGATGCAGTCAGAGCTATGGGCGAACGTGCGCTTGAGCATCTTGAGCACCCATCAAAGCAGTGCACGCGCTCTCTTCACTTCTTTTGAAATAGCTCTCTGTGATGCCACGTAACCGCAGTTAAAGCTGAGTTAACCGCGGTTAAGTGTGCCCGTGTAACCGCTCATTCACACTGGAAGCGGATCCGCGTTCACAAAGCGGTTGCGAACGCGGTTGTATAAACATCCAGTGCAATTGCACGCGCACGCGATGACATCAGGTGCGCGTGCAAATGTACTGAATCTTTATACAACCGCGTTCGCAACCGCTTCGCGAACGCGGATCCGCTTCCAGTGTGAATGAGCGGTAACAGGGGTATTACAGGGGTATAAGCTGAGACTGGCTGAAAAAAAACAGTGGTGGGGCGCGCGAGCGTCTTGAGACGTGGAGTCCCGCTCGTCTCGTGCGCTGGCATTGGCAGTGCTTTCTTTCACCGTCTCGGCTGAGACGCTGTTTCTAACAAGTTGGCCCTGGTTTGGAGCGCACGTTCGTTTATTCTACACTTGAATATTGGCGTGACTAAAACCTCACATGCACAGAGTTTTCAGTCACCGAGAGCCAAACTTTTTCACTCTAGCGACGGTAAAACGGCTCAAATTAGTCGTGTCACATACTTAGAGCACACGACCACCGCTAGAGGCTGTTTCGCGGCCTGTGGTTGGCCCCATAGAGTTATTATAATGTACGCTAGAGGTTCAACTGGCGCTAGTGTCTATGCGACTTCCGGGAGGCAAATTGAAACAGACAGCAACCAGTCTACTTTTGCGGTGCTCCTGTGCATTCCTATGGAAAAACGCGCGTGAATTTTGTCTCTTCGCCGGAAATTAACAGGAATAACTTATTATTTTGGTTGTAGCGGATAGTATGTACCCTTAGTAATATTATAAAAGTGTAGTTGCTTTAATTACAGCATTTTTCTTTACTACTGAACGATGTTACGCTTCGCCATATTTCAGGCCCAAACCTCTGTTCCATGGCAGGTATGTAAAAACGAGTGACGATTCTGAGCTAAATAACGATCGAAAGGAATGTAGAGTATGTTCAAGGTTCGCTAGCATTCCGATGGCGCTTATGTATTGCTAATACGCCCGTCCTCTCACTCTATGATTATGACTCCGTCGTGCATTACGATCGGTCAAAGAACATTCGAATGTAAAAAAATAAAGTACGTGGGCTACGCAAGGTTTGCCTTTTTATAATTTCCTATGTCAGGCAGTTTTTATCGGGCACCTGTTCTCTGACTTCTGCCTATTTGTAAAGAATTGGAGGGTGCGGTTGATGATTTGAACCTAGAACATGCATCTTCGCACATATTCGTGAGAAGAAAGAATAAACGAGTACTTATTTATTGCAAATCGGACTATATTACGTGGATTTCAATTTATTTTAATCGCCTGCAAGCTCGAGGAGTTACTTATATAGTGTTACTGCGTAGTTTTTGCCGTCTCGGTTTTGCACATGTCCTTCGTTCGTTTGACACGTATATCCCCCATGGTGGAAAGCGCCGACGCCGTGTTCGCGCTAACAGT